CTGTGTATATAGACATACAAGTGTTGGTGACATCTGGGGGATGTGTTCTTCTGAAACTGAGAAGTGGTCGTCACCATCTTACTGGAGCTTCACGGTGGGCATATTAGAGCTGAACGGGTTTCGCACGACACTGGGGTGAAGTTTCGCGCTGCGTGGCTTCCTGTGAGAAGTCATGCGTTTGTGCCAGCAACTAGATACAATATCGAGACTGATGTATGTATATTCGTTTTTTGTAAAAACAAAAAAAACGTCATCTCCCAGTGCGAAAGACATTGTGTACACACGAAGACTCCATTTGTTAAGTGGACCCATAAATCAGGCTGCGTGTGCGGAAGTTCCACAAAACAGCTGCCACATGGCACATTACACCTCAAGGCCTTGCGTGGTCTCGCGCGTGCTCGGAGTGAACTTATGCTCGCAGTTACTCATGTGGAAAAAGGCATGGCGTACTGATGGATGTTATATGTTGTAATGTGTTGTGTGTTAATGCTTAATTCCGCCAGCCCTCTCGGCGCAAAACGGCCTCGGCAAGGAAGCCAACATCATTGGTTTTACTTCGGTGTTGGCCCCATTTGGGCCTCTTGGTAGGGCAACGCTAATTAAAGCTCCCCTCTTGCTTGTCTGATCGATGTCCTCCAAGATGGCCTCAAAAGCGGTCCCAAGGCTCCCACGACTGCTTCAAGTGGGCCCCAAGAGGCGCCCAGGAGGCCTCAAGAGGCGTCGAAGAGGCCTCCAAGAGGCACCCAAGAGACCCCTGAGAGGCCCCAAAACACTCCCCGAGGCGCCTGCGGGTCCACCAAGAGGCCCCCAAGACGCTCCAAGAGGCTCCTCTGCGTGCTGCCCACTTCCCTGATCGAGGCAACTCCTCCGGGTATTGTTTCTGGATGGGCTGGTGGGGATACGCGAAGCGTCTAGACTGTTTAAAAACGGTTCAGAAAGTCAATATGGGGGGACGTTCAAAAAATAATTATCCCGAGCGCTGTAAGGCGCAACTCATAAACACCAAGAAAACTGGGCAAACCGGGCCGCTGGGGACGTCCCCGCGACCACCCTGGCGCTCGGCGCCCAACATACCTCACAAAAAAGGCGACACGCGTCAATCCCGAAAACACTTGTAAATTTCGGTTCTGGGAGCCAACGTAAGGCCATTCAATTTCAAACGAAAAAAACGGGTGGCACGCGTCACCCCTGAAACCGTGAGACAAAAAATGGTAACTTTGGGATTCTGGGAGCCAACGTAAGGCCCTCCTGCCTCGCAAAAAGAACGGGTGACACGTGCCACCCCCGAAACCGTTTGAGAACAACCAATTGTAAACCTGAGGTTCTGGGAGCCAACATAAGGCCACTCTGCCTCACAATAACAGAGGGTGAAACGTGTCTCCCCCGAAACCGTCTGAGAAAAAAACGATATAAATCTGGGATTCTGGGAGCCAACATCAGGACATTTAGCTGCACGGCGCACAACGGGCGAGAACTGGACGCCACTGCGCGCACAAACGCGCAGTCGCGCGGGTACGTACGTACACGTCCCAGAAAGACGAAAACTACATGTTCGTCGACCGAAGCAGCATGCACATCGGAACGCTTACAAGACATGTGTGTCTACCAATGCACGCGCGTGCGTGCGTGTATACACATATATGTATACACACATACATGTGTGCATGTATCAATCGCACCAGTCGGTCCCCGTGGAATATTCCAGGGGGAAAGGAAACAATCGGTGGCCAACTAATGGCATTCGGGATCGGGGGGGAAGGGATGGGTTATCATGTTCTCAACAGGCTTTGGACATTACGCCATGGTAGCACTCGATATTTGTTTTTGGTTTGTAACATGATTGCATCGTGTAAGCTGCAATGGCACGTTCACAGTCAATCATATCTGTGTTGCTCTATAACTATATATGTACTTAGAATGTGCTAGGCTGGAGCACTTAATGTATAGTGTATTGCCTCGTTGTGCTACAGCGCTGTGATATGGTACTTGCTCTTGACTCTCGTTCGAAGAATCTTCAATGTGATATGTGCGTGTCGATGAGAATTCGATCAGACATGGGCCGGCCCCAACCACTCCACATACTTTCATTTCTGAATACTCGTCTTGCGATTGGAATTCAAAAGGGTACATGCGTCGATCCCAGCTCCCCGCACAATTCTGTCATACAGTATGTGTCTTTCAATATGGAATCAATGGGTGATGCGCCGAGCCCACATTCCAGCAGAAGCTGCTAAATGTGTGATCTGGTGTTCCATGGTACTCTGATAAAAAAATACGTTCGCCCCAGGCTCCCGCAATGTTGTTTGATACTATGTGTGTTCCCATACTCCCAAATTCGGCTCGTGTTTCTCTGCGCACAATCCGTGCAGGAACCTCTCACACACACGTAAACGCACACACCACTCCTCCTCTCATCGTCCTCCCACCAGCATTATGACTACCATCGCCATCACCCTCACCATCAGCATAGCCATCAACATTATCACCATGATCATCAGCATCACTGTCATCATTACTCTTATCCAGCATGAGGGGTGCTTCCCCACATCCTTAGTTGGCTTATCCTTTTCTCTGGACACACCCGCATATGAACATAAGCGCAGGAAGCAAGCTGCCAACCGCTTTCTAAAAGAAAAAACCTGGGCATAAGTCCGATGAAATGATACCGGAGATAAAACCCAATCATCATCATGTTTGATATTAGATGCGATCCCTTTGTATTTGCTCCAAGGCTACAGGGCTATAGGGCCAGGCTATAGGGCTATAGAGCCATAGGGATACGGGGCTATAGGGCGATAGGGCTATAGGGCGATAGGGCTAGAGGGCTATCGGGCTATAAGGCAATAGCGCTATAGGGCTACAAGGCTATAGGGCTGTGGGGCCGTAGGGCTATAGGGCTATATGGGCTATTGGGCAATGGGGCTATGCAATTATAGAGCTATAGGGCTATAGGGCTATAGGGCTATTCGGCTATGGGGCTATAAGGCTATTGGGCTATAGGGGTATAGGGCTATTGGGCTATAAGGCCAATAGGGCAGTAGAGCACCCGGGCACCTGGGCACCCCCGGGCACCCGCGGACACCCCCAAGCACCCCCAGGCACCCCCGGGCCCCCGGGCCGGCCACCGAAATCGGCGACCCACTTCACCTAACCGTATAAGTCCGCTTGGACCCCTACAGAGGCAAGCTCTGTGTGGGGAATTTTGAACTTCCAATACTCGAGCGAAGGGGGATGCTCCAAGCAGGTTGCCAGCCACCTGTTTGAAGACCCCTGGGCATAGGAGAGCTGAGATTTTGAGTCGTCAATATTCAAATGAAGGGTGATTCTCCAAGCAGGCTGCCAACCACCTGTTTGAATAATCCTGGGCATGAGCCCGCTGAGATCTTGAATCGTAAATCTTAAAGCGCATGACATGTGGTCATAGAATCAGCTTCAAATGTGCTTTCAGAACCTTGGACATTAAACATTTTATGGTGAACTCCCTCGAAGCACTTAAAGGCACTGAAATACACCCCCTTCTGGCGTCGTACCAGGACGTCGGGGAGGGAGGAACACATCACAGCGTCCACCACCCTGTTCCCCGTTCCTCGGAGCGAGGGCCTCGAGTCACAACAGTTCTCCCTGTGCAGCCTCTCTCGCGCTTGAGTCGTCGACTCTGTCTTAGCACAGAGACTTGGCTTCTCCGTCCGAATTGCCGAACCCTTCGGCGCCCTCCCCGGAATGAGCGATGTAAACAACGGGTCGCACGCGAGATGGCACAGCGTCCTTACGGCATAGGGCCGCCCGCCCGCCTCAGGAGGTCGCTCATGCGAGACCTTACGCGGGCAGCTTGCACGCCAACGTCGGCGAAGACATCACCGTTTCTCTTCCGCAGCTCAAAGGACGACCCAGCTTGCTGGCTGCTGTCCGAGGACACATGAAGGGGCCCCTGGACACACAAATAAATACACACAAATATACAGATTCCCCATCTTTTCCAACATTTTCTGGGTTTCTGTCTTCCCCCCCACTTCCCATATGTTCCCAGGTTTTCTTGGGAACCGACGATTAATTGTGTCTGTGTGTTTCTTCCCCTCCTGAACACAGGCCGCCCCCCTGGCCCTCGGCGGCCTCCCTTGAGGGCCGCCTCGCCCGAGAGTCTCTCGGAGCCGAGCTGCCGACGACCTCTGCCTTGACGGACGACACGAGAGCGTCTCCTGCAGTCGGGGCGTCGACCTGAGGAACCCTAAATAAGGAACGAGGCCCCTTTTTGTTCCATAAGTGAACCTTCGATTTCCGATCGAAAACATAAGGAAAACCTGAGGCAAGCTGTGAAACACTTAAGGAACACGGAGCCCCTCCCCAACGACAAGGGTTCCTTCTTCAAGGCCTCGACTGTAGAGTCGCTGTGCATCCTCCTACCCCCGTCCTCCCAGGAGCAAAGACAACAGTCACCACCACCACCACCACCACCACCACCACCATCGCGATGAGCGAGGCAGGGTCCTCCCTGTGGCGTCGTCTCTGGGAAGCGCCGCGGACCTCCACGCTGGAGGTGGCCCGCTGGTGGTGGTTTCTCGGTGTCGCCGTTCCTCCCTCTTTTACCATCGCCCCGACGTCCACTCCCCGTGTATGTTTCGGATTCGTGCGTTTAAAAACTTTGTACAACAAGATGTCCCTCGATGGTCCTCGCCGAGAAACAATGCCCGCGTCCGAGCGATGCTAAGCGACCCCAGGAGAAGACAAAGCTGCATTCTCTGGATCAGCGTTGGACCCGCCTCAGTGGCGCGCGCAGCGCGCCAGTGGCAGCGAGCCAGGAGCGGCGCCAGGGTCGCTGCTAGAGGGGTACAGGTGCCGATCGGAGAAAACCCGACTGGAACATTTAGTACAATCTTGCAAGATTGAAGGGGCCCTGGGACACACACACACACACACACACACATAAATACACACGAATAACAGGTTTCCCCATATTTTCCCATATGCTCTGGGTGTTTGTCTCCCCCCCCCCACTTCCCATGTTTTCCCACATCTCCTGGGCAGTCGACGATAAATGGTGTCTGTGCCTTTCTTCCAAACGAAGACATCCATGCGAGCAGGGTGCACTCGGACATCGAGGCGGTGCCAGCCATATTGGAGAGAAGTGTCTCCGGCAGCGTGCCGCCTGTCTGCAGCATGCACAGTCGGGGCGTTGACCTAAGGAACCCTAAATAAGGAACGAGGCCCCATCGATTTTCCATCGAAGCATAAGAAAAAGGATCCCTAAATAAGGAACCCTAAGTTGAACTTCGATTTCCCATCGAAAACATAAGGAAAACGAGAGGCAAACTGTGAAACAACTAAGGAACACGGGGCCCCTCCCCAACGAAAAGGGTTCCTTCTTCAGGGCCCCGACTGTATTCTGCACCGCTGCTTCTTCTGAGGCGAGTCCTGGAGCGTGAAAATGCTCTCCTTCTGAGGAGTTTGCCATTCGAGCCCGCGCCAGGTGCTAATTCCAAAAAGGGCGCCCGCCGCCGAGCATCGACAGTTCGCTTTCTGAGCGCGCGCGTCGCCCCTCAGGGGGCCGACGCACACATAGCAGAAGCATGTTCGTAGAGGCCTGATGGGGTTGGAGTAGAGTTAGGTCCTGCAGGCGGATTTTTGACGAGAAATAACACATTGTCGGAAAATACCCCCCACACGCTCAAAAACGGTCGAAGAACATCGCCCCACGACTACATGTTTTACTATTTTTGTCTACTCCTCCTGTAGAGGGACAGGTCCGACTTAAACATAGCATGAGCATGTTCGTAGAGGCCTGATGGGGTCGGAGTAGATGGGGTCGGAGGATCTACCCGCATCGCCGATGCATCGTCCATGCATCGCCGATGCATCAGCGGCGTCGGCGATGCAGCGGCAACGTCCGCGTGGAAAAGATCGGGTTCCACATCAAGCCGCATGGCCTATACCTTGGAGAAGAAAATCGGCGATGCGGCGCGAGCCTCCGACGCCACACCTACTGGACGTTAAATATAATAGAGGGTTTCGCTCGTGCGCGCAGCCTCCTCCTCTCCTTGCTCTTTCCGCGCTCTTTGCTCAAGGCCTCTAGCGAGGCCAGCGGGTTTTTGGGGCGGGCGGGCGGGGCCACAGCTCGCCTGGCCCGGCCTGCGGCCAAGGCCAGGCACTCTGAGGAGTGCAGGGTAGTGGCAAGGCCAAGACCCCCTTCCAATGCGGGCGGCGACCTGACGGGTCGCGCGGCCCGCAGCGGCCGCTGGATGCGGCCCGTCCACACGCTCGAGTGCGGCGCAGCGACGGCCATCTTCGCCGAGCTGGCGTGGCTGGACGAGTCCCTGTGCGTCGGCCTGTGTGCCAACTTCTCTGCGACAGACACGGCCATCGGCCCAGGGGACGGCCACGCCCAGGCAGGCCCAGACGAGGGCGACGCAGGCGAAGAGGAGGAGCATGTGGGGCTGCCCAGTGGTAAAGGCCAGCCTGGCTGCTCAGCGGAGAGTGAGGTGACGCCGGCAGCCATCGAGGAGCCGCCGGGCGACCCCCCTCACTCGTGGGGCCCCCGGCTGCGGACCCCCCTGCAGCCAAGGCCCGCCAGGGCGAGCGCCCCCCGACGCCCGGTGAGCACGAGCACAACTACCAGGGCTGCTGCTACGCGGACGCCAGCCCAGCAGCGGCGCCCGCGCCACAGGAGGCCAGCGCCCACGGCTTGGCTCAGGAGCCCCCGGTGGCTCCGCCAGTGGAGGAGAAGGAGGCGCGCGAGGCCAGCCCGCCGCCGCACGCCCCCGAGGAGCCGCCGAGCGCGCCCCACGTGTCCGCCGCGGAGGGCAGGCGAGACGAGGAGCCGAGCTCGCCTGTGTCGACCGCATCCGAGTGGCGTCTCGCGGGCGCGGCCGGGGTCAATGCGCGGGCCGAGGCGGTCCCGAAGTGGTTCGGCGAGACGGCGGGGCACGCGCTCGGCGCCTGGCTGCACCAGCTCATCTGCTTCCTGATGGGCATGGTCGACACCATTGAAGGGGAACTGGGACACACAAATAAATACACACAAATAAAGATATCCTCCATATTTTCCCATATTTTCTGGATCTGTCTTCCCCCCCACTTCCCATATTTTCTGGGAATCGCCGATTAATTGTGTCTGTGTTTTTTCCCCTCCTGAGCCATGGGTCGGCACCTGTTCGGCACGTACTGGGCGAAGCTGCAGTGGGCTGCCATGGGGTTCGCGGCCCTCAGGGTGGCGACCGTCTTAGGCTCTGGCATCCGTCATCAGGTTTGTGGCTTGGTTCCTGCGCACGGAATGGTCCTACGTCGCTTTCGTTGCAATGACATTGAAGGTTTCGCGGGCGGCAGCAAGACGGGGCACGACGTCAGGGTGGCCCTGGATGGCGACCCAGCCTCCGCCCTGAGCCGGTACGGCCCAGCAGAGGTCGAGGCAGTGGACAAGGCCCACGTGAAGAACGATGTCAGGTCGAGGGGAGGCACCGCTGAGAAGACGATGCCCAAGGACCTCATCATCAAAGCGGGGGGAGCCGCGGCCCGCCTTGAGCAGGGACCGCACAAGGGCAGCCGCCTCTCTCGGCACTGGTACGTCCACCGCTTTCAGGAGGTGAAGGGCAGCTCCGACCGCCACCTCGAGGATGACCTCGAGGCGACGCGGGACGACGAGGGCATTGGGATGGTGCACAAGTGCGCGGCTATCCCGCGCACTCTGCCGGAGGGTGAGAAGAGCCTCGCCCACGTCTGCTCGTCGCGCGCGGCCAACCCCAGCGCCCAGATCAACATGTCGGACTTGGCCAAGCTCGCGCCCGCAGGCCGCGCGCGCACGGGCGGCCGGGTCCGTTGCGCTTGGACCTGGAGCCCGTAAAGGACTTACGCGCCCAGCCAATTACGCACATGAGCACCGGCCCCTCGGTCCGCGAGACTGGCCGCGCCATTCGAACATTTGCGCAGTGCGTACTCTCGAAACCAGCGTGGACTCATGCACGCGCACGCCCCTCCTTCGCTCCGGAGAAGAGATGCACCCCACCTCGGAAACCGAGTCCGAGCCCAGCGTCGACGTCTGCGCGGCGGACAGGAGTGCTCTCCTCGGCAAAGGAGGGGGTGCGGAGGTCTGGCGCCCCAAAGGGCTGCAGGGGCTCGGCACGCCAGGAGCCGGTCGCCCTGCTGGCTGAGGATGCGGCGATCTCGGTTGCGCGCGACGCCCTGGGGGCGGGTGGCACCCGCACTCTTCGAGCACGCCCCTCCCGCGCGCAGACCTGCGAGGCGCAGGCCGCGCCGAGGCGGTGCGCTCGGGCCCGGTGCTTCAGTGACGGGCAACGATAGGGGGGGACTGGCATAGGGGGGGAATGCATCGACCTGGAATCGGCGACACATCGCCGATAGATCGGCGATAGGCCCCCGATAGTGAATCCGTACCTTCCTGGGTAGGGTGGGGCTATCGGGTCCCTATCGGCGATCAATGGGCGATTAGGGGTCGATGCCTCCCCCCTATGCCTATCCCCCTCCTATCGTTGCCCCTGAGTCAGGGAGAAGACCACGGAGAAGGATGGCTTCCCCTCCGCGCATCTCATGCTGCTGATCGCGACGCAGCCTGGCGCAGCCGCTCAGCTGCACCGATGTCCGGGGAGGAGAGGGCGCCAAGCCCGCGCCAGGCCGAGCTCCGGGAGGCGCGCCCGGCACGCGAGGGTCGCCCGCAGGCGAGCACGGGGCCCGGAAGGGCAGCAAAGTTGAGGCCGCGGTGGATGCGCCTTGGCCGGTCCATGCGCGCGACCCCCTAGCGGACGCGGCCGCGAGCTGGGGCGCTTACTGCAGCTTCCCGGCCAACTTCGTCGGCCCGGCGGAGGACAGCACCGAGGACGACCCCCGCAGCGACGTGGAAGCAATCGGCCTTGGCCTCGTCTTCTCCATCCCCGACGGCGCCTTGCCAGCCCCGCGCCCAGAGCTGCTCGACGAGCTCATCAGCTCCCAGCCGCTGGAAGGCTGCCGTGGCCCTCAGACTCTCAGACTACGGCGACGGCGCCAACTATCAAGGCGATAGCTTGAGCTCGATGTCCGCAGTCGCCCTGAGCAATGCGCGGAGCCGCCACCACCTGGCCCGTCGAGCGAGGTCCAGGAGCAGGAGCGCTGCGCCGACGAGAAAGGAGGCGCGCAACGACTCTGGGGAACAGCTCAGAAAGGCGCGCGCTCAGGACGAGGAGCAGAGGAGGCAGGGCCCCCCGGCAGCCCTGATCTCCAGCTACCTGGGCCGGAAGGCGGAAGCTCAGACGGGCGCCGCGGCGCAGGGGGCCCCGTCGGCCGAGCGCGGAGCGGGGCGGCACGAGCTCCTCGCCGAGCTCATCGAAGCCGCCGACGCGATGCACGAGGGCGTGGTCAGCGAGGTCGCGCCCGGCCTGCTGCGAAGGTGCCAGACCACACGGGGCGGGGAGCTCGAGGGAGGAAATGGGCGCGCGCGTGGAACTGCTGAGCGCCACGGCGAGGCGCAGAGGCCGCCGCGCCCGCCGCTGGCAGGCCCCCCCCCCCCTGGGCGACATGCAGCCTGGCCCAGGACCGATGGCCTCGTTGTCGTGGGACCGACCGCCTGGGGCGCAGGCTCCTTGGAACGGACGCGCGGGCCCGCCCCCCCCTGGCCCGCGACCTGGGGGGCCGGGCTTCGTCGCCTCCGGCCAGAGGCCGCCAGCTCAGCAGGCGCCCACGAGGTTCGACCTGTCGACGTTCTACAGCACCGGCGGACCCAGCTCCACCTCTCCATGGGGGGGCCGACCTCCACCTGAGGCGCCCTTCGCCGAACGGATCGCAGGACCGAGGGAGTGGCGCGCATGCGCACCCCCCCTACCCCAGGAAGATAAGATCCCAGCGGGGCCGCTTCCCGAGACCGAGCAGGGCCTTGGTCTGCAGGGCCTGGTCCGAGAGATGGGGCGGGCCAACAAGCGCGCGGAGGAAGCAGGGGGAGCAGCCAAGGGCACGTTGGCCAACATCGGCAGGGCGGATGGGCAGCTGGCGTTCATGGCGAAGGGCTGCGACTACTATAGCGCCACCCTCTGCCCAGGCCTACTGGGGAAGATGCGCTCTACTGCCTTCGCTCAGAGGGGCAACGCCATCGCCTATGGCTACGCGGCCTTCCAGCATGGGGGGCGGGATCACGTCGACCTCCCAGACTACTGCCTCAGTCGCGCGAACTCCCCGAAGGCGTCGGGGCGGACATGGGCAACTTCGCGCCGCCAGAGGACTGCGAGCGCGAGACGCGGCCGCGACGTGCATCTACACTTATGTTGTCTCATAGTACTTAAAAGACCACATCCCAGAGGTCGGCGAGCGCGCGGCAGACGACCTCTCACCTGGTGGCGAGACTCCAGCCGCCAGCGCGGCGGGGGGGGGGGCGCCACAGGTCGAGGAGGCCGGAAGCGCAGGAAAGGTCGAGGCTGCTGCCACCCTGAGCCAAAGCCGGGCTAACGGCGATTTTGCTTAACGGGGATGTTGGCAACCACAGTGAGAGAAATCACGAACCCCACTTTTCTACACTCCCAGTCTGCGAATGGACCGAGGGAGCACGACGCGGCGAATTGCAGGAAAGCGCGAGCCACGCGTTTCCACAACACCGAAACCCACATCGCCGAAACCTACATCGCCGTTAGCCCGTCTACGGCTGAAGTCGCGGTCCGTTGGGGGAAGCTGCTAATGAGTTGAAGGTTTTCACCCCCGCGGAGCTTGAGGAGCACCTGGGCTCGACCACGCAAGGCCCCGATGCCAGGTGGTTGGCCAACCACCACCAGGCCAAGCAGCAGAGGGCCCCGCCGCCGGACTCCACGCCGGAGCTGGCGCGCAGGAAGGAAGTCATGCACGAGATCGACACCGACCATCCCCTCCAGAACGAGGCGCCGGCGACGGGCCTCACATAAACTGTTGTAGTACTACGACTCCCCACAATATTACTACGAGTACAACAGTACGCCCGTACCATAATGCTGCTACACTACCGAAGTTTTGCAATGCTGCGCGGCTCCTGAAGTCACCACTAACATGTTACCGCCACTTCTGCACCAGAGTATTACTTCGACTGCAATAGGATGATACAAATTCAATACTACTACGGCAATGCAGTACCAGGTCACGGCTACCCTGCTTGAGCACTCCGATGTTAGAACTCCACTGCTACTACGACAATTACAGCGCCACCACTACGACATTACAGTATTATAATGCTAAAGCCGTGCTGCAATAACACGGCATTTGGCAATCCCTACTACAGCACCGCACTGGAGCCAAGCATGGCTAAGCATAGCCTAAGCCTGACCCAAACCCCAGCCTAGCCTACACCTCAGCCTAGCCTGAGCCTCGTCCAAACCTCAGCCTGAGCCTCGGCGGAAGCCTCAGCCTAAGCCAACACCAAGCCTAGCCCAAGCCTTAGCCTAGCTTCAGCCTGAACCTCAACCTGGGATAAAGCCCAGCCTCAGCTTGAGCCTCGGCCTGGGCCTAACCTCGGCCAGCGCCTACCCTGGGCCTCATACCTTCACTTGCGATTACAATGCTAGGGTATTACTACCACCTCACCACTACAACAGTTCTACTATCACAATATGCGGGTGCGGCTACTCCTAAAACGCAATTGCTACTACAACCGCTCGACCATATTACAGCGATGCTAAACTACTAAAGAATTGCAAGACCGTGTTGCCCCCACAGCCACCACTACGTTGTGATTACCACTACTACTGCATCAGAGCACTACTATGGCTTACAATGCGACTGCGGCACGACGCTGCTAGGGCACGGCGGCCGTGCTTGAGCACTCCAGCGCTAAAGCTCCATTGCGACGACTGCCAGCATGGGAAAACAATACCATGCTAAAATATCACTCATGCCATAGCACCGCTGCAGTGTTGCGTTACGACTGTTACAGCGTCCACTACGGCTGTTACAGCGTACTACAGCGCTACATTGTGATAGTACCACAATCATGGTTTACCATGCTGCGGCAGTGGGGCGTTCCTATTTCAGTATTGCAGGCAACCGTTGAGTACTACTCTTACGGACCATGTACTAGAGCACTGCTTCTACAGTGCCACTACTACACTAGTACACCACTCTCCCACAACAGCACGACACTAGTCCTACAGCACTACTACTGACGCACTCCAGTTCGATGGGCATAATACTACATCCGAGTACGACCGCAGTGGGTCATTTCTGCTACAGCGATACAGTGCGACTAACATACCCTCTGCTAGGGTATGAAATTACTGCCAGGCCTGAGTAGTACCGACCACTACTACTATTACTAGTGCTATTATTACTACTACGACTACTACGACTACTACGACTACTACGACTACTACGACTACTACTACTACTACTACTACTACTACTACTATTACTACTACTACCACTACTGACACTACTACCACTACCACTACTACTACCACTACAACCACCACCACTACTACTACTACTACTACTACTACTACTACTACTATTACTTCTACTTCTACTACTACTGCTATACTACTACTAACTACTACTACTACTACTACTACTACTACTACTACTACTGCTACTACTACTGCTACTACTACTACTACTACTACAACTACTACTACTACTGCTACTACTACTACTACTACTACTACTACTACTACTACTACTACTACTACACTACTACTACTACTACAGTACTAGTACTAGTACTAGTACTAGTACTACTACTACTACTACTACTACTACCACTACTACTACTACTACTACTACTACCACTACTACTACTACTACTACTACTACTACTACTACTACTGCTACTACTACTACTACTACTACTACTACTACTACGACTACGACTACGACTACGGAAACGGAAACGATTCAGACAGAGCTTCCACCCAACAGAACAAATCGAACGACCCGCCCACTCCTCCTCCTCCTCCTCCGCCTCCTCCTCAGCCTCCTCCGCCTCCGCCTCGGGCTCCTCCTCCACCTCCGCCTCGGGTTTCGAGGGTGTCGGGGGGCGGCAAAACAAAAGGGAAACAACAACATTCTTTTAATGTATGCAAAAAGTTTTGTTCGCTCCCCCCCTCCTCCTCCTCCACCTCCTCCTTCTCTTCCTCCTCCTCCTCCTCCTCTGCCTCCTCCTCCGCCTCCTCCTCCTCCGCCTCCTCCTCCTCCTCCTCCTCCGCCTCTGCCCCCTCCTCCTGGGGAGGGGAGGGAAAAGGAGAGAGAAAGAGAGAGAGAGAGAGAGAGGGGAGCGCGAGAAGAAAGAGGGCGGAGGATGACATAATGAAATGGTGAGTTTCGCCGGGGGGGGATTCGACCTTTAAACCCTAAATTTTTAACCCTATGATTATTAAACCCTGATTATCTAGACCCCATGCGTTCTGATTTCTATCGAACTTCCAGGGTCGAGCCTGCTATGGGGATCTTTACGACCCGCTACGAAAACCACCCACAATCCTATGCCACAAAAGTACCATTTCCTGATCATGCGTGCTCCCAGGCGCACTCCTGGATCGAGCCTGCTACGGGGATCTTTACGACCCGCTATGTAAACCACCCACAATCGTATGCAACAAACGATATTTCCTGATCATGCCTGCTCCCAGGCGCACTCCTGGATCGAGCCTGCTATGGGGATCTTTTACGACCCGCTATGTAAACCACCCACAATCCTATGCGCCCCTCTTATGTAAACCCTCTCCGTCTACTGCAACTAGCACATTCTGCGCATGCGTGCAGAATCTCCTGTATTTTACAATACAAAATGCCTTCCGTTGCGGCCCGATCCACCGATTCTACCGACTAGCGTTTCCTGCGCATGCGTGCAGAACCTCCTCCGCCCGACCCGACTCGCCCCGCCCGTTGCAGCACTCGCGTGCCAACTGGATGGCATCCGCCGTCGCCGTCGTCGTTGTCCTCGTCGTCGACGCTGTATTCGATGCGGTTCTCACGAGGGGAGAGATGATCTTTATGGTGGGGTGGCTTGCGGGTGGGATTGGCGGCCACCGCAGGTGGGTTCGTGGGCAAGTTGTAATCATGGCCAAGCCTGTTAGAAACTAAGAGCCTATAAAGATTTAAATCCTAAAAGCCCTTCCGCCGCCCTAAAGTCCCTCCTTCGGCCGCCCCCCCATTTTGGCGCACCCCTCACGCAGATCCTTGCCCTCGGAGCGCCAAGCATGGCGTTTTGGGAGGATCTGCAAATCCCAGGGTGCGCCCCTCACGCAGATCCTTGGCCTCGGAGCGCCAGGAATGGCGCCGGGCGCCCCCGCGGCGGGCGAGGCGGCCGCGGGCGCTGCGGCCCCCCCTCTGCGAGCTCGCGGGAGGGCGGCCCGGCGGACGCGGGGTGGCGCGCCGACCCTTCGGCGGCGCAGGCGGCCGCGGGCCAGCTGGGCGGTGCGCCCACGGCGACCGCGGGGGGCCCTGCGTCGCACAGGGACTCGCGTCAATAAGCGTGGATCTTGCGTGCAACCTCTCCGCCGCTGGGCGGCGTCCCTGCATCGCACAGGGACTCGCGTCAAAAAACGTGGTTCTTCAAATCGCGTCGTCACGCGCGCGGGCCGCATCGCCGTTGCAGCCGCGTCCCAGGTGTCTTTGCGCGGCCGCGTCGTCGTCGTTTTGAAAACAATATCAACGTCGTCGTCATCGGTGTCGTCCTCGTCGTCGTTTTGCGAGTCGCGTGTTGATACCGCATCGAGATCAATATGTCTTGGGTCATGGGTGGGTGGGACACGGTCAAGTGGGCTGCAAGTTTGGGCTAGTGGACCCTAAACCCTAAACCCTAAACCCTAAATCGGCCTCCAGGTTCGCGCCCTCGGGGACCATGGCCCGGTTCTCGCAGGCGCCCCTGCACTTCGCAAACCCGACAAAAGGCTGGCGCGCGGCAGCCGGCAGCTTCGTGAAATCACCCTGGCAGCCAGGGTCTACCTCGTCGATGGGCACGGGCTGGCCCATGGTCTCGTCGTCCTCAAATCCGATCCCCATCCCAGGCGGCGCGGCCTGGGCCCCACTGGCCGATCTACCCCACTAGATGGGGATGTAGGTCGTTCCCTTCGGGCTCCGAGGGGTGCACCCCCAACTGGGGCGGCAATTTGGCGGGGGTCGGAGGGGGCGGGGATGGGGATGGGGATCGGATAAACGATACCGACCTTCAGCTCAACCATCTTGGCGTCCAGTTCCTGCAGCCTCGCCTGCAGGGCCTTCTGGGTCCGTTGCAGGGGCTCGAGCGTCTGCTCGGTCGCGGCGCCCACAATCTCGGACACGTTTTGGCTCTTGGCCGGGCCCGGCTCGGCCGCCAGAGCGGTCTCTCGGGTCGGGCGGAAGGGGGGGACAGCCAAGGGGGGGGGTGAGAATCAGCTCACGTAGCTGATTTTCCCGGCGCCTCCAGGCGCCGCAGGCGGCCATGTATCGAGGAATGGGCCCCTCGGTGGAGCCGAAACCAGCTGTATGCAGCAAATTTCGTAACCCCCCCTTTCCCTATCCCCCCCTTTCGTCTGGCCCGAATCGAGAGCGGTCTCGCCCAGCTCCACCTCGGCGAACAAGTGGTCGCGCATGCTGAGGGAGGGCAGCGCCCCAAGGTACGGGAGCAGCAAGGTCGGCAGCGGGGCGCGGAGCGCAGGGCGCCGGCACGCGGGCGGCATGGCGGACGATGCTGCGCCGAGCTCGGCGACGATGTCCCGGGACGTCCCCGGCGCACTAGCAACAACATTTTCCTTAAGCACGCTCGAGCCTTGAACCAAAATTTGGCCACGGACCTGGCGCACCCCCCGCTAGTGTCAGAGAGGCGTAAGACCCGGGTACAGGGGACTCGGAAATCCCCGACGAGGTCGTCAAAAAAATGACGAGGCCGAGCCTGCATTTTGACGAGGCCTCCCCCTGCAGACATCCCACGAAATTCCTACTCGTCATAATCCGAGTCGCGGTCGTCAAAAAACGATGGCGAACCCGAGTTCTGGCAAACCCAGGTCTTACGCTCCCCCGATAGTGGAAAGCTTCCGATTGCTTGGGCGCAATGCTTGGCATTGTTTGGCATTGCTTGACATTGCTCGGCATTGCCGGGCATCCGGCGCCGGGGGAATCCGGGGAACCTGGAGAACCCGAGCGGGCAGATAAGCCCCCGAGGCGCGAACCTTCAACCAAATCAGAAACCCTCACGCAAACCCCATTGGAGAATTCGCCAGCCCAACGGGCCAGAGGCGTGCTAAGATCTCCGGTATCGGATTAGAAATAAATCTAGTTCGCGCTTGCGCGGCGGCCCCTGGGGGCCCCTGGACGAAAAGTATCCTGGCCGATGACCAGGCGATGCCCGGGCGATGCCCGGGCGCCCCAGGAGCGCGCCAGGAGGGGGCCGGGGCGCCCCCCGCACATTGCAAGAGACCCCGCGTCGCCGAAAGATCGTTCCAAGACGCTCAAGAGGCTCTCCAACAGGGCCCCAACAAGAAACAGTCGTTCAATTCCCTCCGGGAAACTCACATTCTTCGTATGCGCGACGTTCGGGGGTCCACAGCGCCCAGAACTGCCCCAGAGGCCTCCAACATCGCCCCCAGACGGCCCAACACGCCCCAAAGATGGGCGCAAGAGAGCCCAAGAGGGCCCCAAGACGGCCCAAGACGGCACCAAGAGGCGCCCAAGACGGCCCAAGAGGGCCCCAAAACGGCCCAAGAGGGGCCTAAGAAAGGGGCCAAGAACCGAAAAGTCCAGCCTTCAGCCCCAAGACCCCCAGGAGGCCCCAAGAAGCCCCCAAAGGCCCCAAGGGGCCCCATCCCGATTGGCGCCCGCCTCCTCCGCAGCTGAGGCTCGATTCGATCGATTCTTCATCTGGGGGGGGGGTCAAACTGAGTCAGTTCCTTCACCTCCCCTATCTTTGCAACCACCGACGCTGGTAGTCAAGTTTTCATTGGACTTCAGAATCAAATGGGTTTTGGTTTGGTGGATACTGGAGCTCAGCATGGAGTGCGCGGCAAAGATAAATTAGAGAAAATGGTGAAATTTCTTAGGGGATACCGACGGTCTGACGCCCACGCAGACACCTATTCTGGAAATTGATGCTATGGGCGTTGGAGGATCTACCAAGCTTATCTCCAGCTAGACAATACTTATTGACGCGGCAAAGAACTGCAGTACCATTACAGTGCATTTGATTGTCTGTGATGTGCCCTTACTACTCCCAGTGGAGATAGATGCTCAGACAGCTTGGCACGGTTCTTGATGTACCAGGCGGCGTCATTACTTGGAAGGCACCCGACGACAGCCAGTCGAGAGTCTATAAGGTAAGGGCAGGCAAACACACTGTGATCCGCATGGCTGATTTTCCCAAGAATGCTGGTAGGAAAAAAAGAAAATCAGGACAGTCTCTCCCTAGACTCAGGGGCTCCACCAAATGGTCGAGTCTGAGGGCGCCGCTTTCTTTGCGAATCCGCAGGCACCCTCGGCTCAAACCTGTCCTTCTCAACTAACTGCCTGCTCTCCCGACGATTCGCGCAATGGTGAGGCGCGCGGATCGCATCCTCGCCAAGAAGGGGCCACAGCCGAAACCTCCGACGAGGCCCAGTCAGCCCACGATAACCCCAGAGAAGCGGACGTGGAAATGGAAGCGGTTTTGACTGAAGTTGTTCTCCATTCTGGACCACGCGGCTACGAAGCGCCGCACGGAGGCCCGCATCGGGACCAACGCCTACAAGAACCTGCTCGGGGACGCCAGGAGCCTGGATCAGGAGGCGGCAACATCCACGCACCGCTCTCGCGACCCACGACCCTTCTCCCGAGTTCTGGAGATCAGCGGGGGGCGGCTCGCGGCAGGCATGCGGCCGGAGCCCGACGGCCCGGGCATCAAGAAGACAGGCCAGTCCCTGTGCACGCGCCCCGAGGAGGTCACGCACCACCGGGGCAACAAAAAAAAAACCTGTGGTGGACGCGCGACGACTGCCAGATGCGCTGGACGAGGCCCCCGATCGACGGCTCCATCAGCACTGGTGCCCCAGACCACACGGAACGAACGACATTCGGGAGGCTTGCGGGCTACACTTTCAAGGAGATCTACGAAATGGACTCCCAGCACTGCGAGTGGCGCACGAGGGCCCACGAGTCGGGCGACCCAGCGACACATCAACAACTCCGACGCTTGGCCACGCACGCGGCCGAGCGCGAGATGCGCGAGAAGACCACGGGCGGGGGCGGCTTCGACGATCGTGGGGGAGCACGACACCCGATGGATTCGCGGGCAGAAGATGACTAGAACCATCGCGCGCGCTTCGCGCGCGCTCAAGTTCTAGCTAGGCTTGATAGGCTAACTAATGTAATATCATGTTGATCGCTTCTTGCGTCCAGGGACTGCCTTGGAGGCCCTGCTCAAGCCTCGGAATCATATAGAAGGGGAAGTGCGGAAACGCAGAAATCACTAATTCCATTTAGGTCAGAAAGAGGGGGCCGAACGGTCATTCCCTGAAGTGGAATTTCGCGGTGCGGATTATCGTTGTTGTTTGTTGTTGTTTGTTGTCGTTGTCCCACCCGCAACCCGCCCCGCGACCCACCCCGCGACCCAACCCGCGACCCACCCCGCGACCCACCCGTGACCCATCCGCGACCCACCCGCGACCCACCCCGCGACCCACCCCGCGACCCACCCCGCGACCCGCCCCGTGACCCACCCCGCGACCCACCCCGCGACCCGCCCGCGGCCCACCCCGCGACCCACCCGCGACCCACCCGCGACCCACCCGCGACCCACCCGCGATCCACCCGCGACCCACCCCGCGACCCACCCCCGACCCACCTTCGACCCAAACCACGTTCAGGGTACAAACCACAATTTTCGGCGCCTGCGGCAGGCTTTTGTTGCATTCCTTCCAGGTGGAGAGCCCGCGACCCACCCCATGACCAACTCGCGACCGACCCGCGACCCAAACCACGTTCAGGGTACAAACCACATTTTTCGGCGCCTGCGGCGGGCATCTTCTGCATTCGCTTCAGGTGGAGAGCCCGCGGCCCACCCGCGACCACGTTCGGGGTACAAACCATATGTTTCGGCGCCTGCGGCGGGCATCTTTTGCAATCCTTCCCGGTGGAGAACCCGCGGCCCACCCGCGACCCAAACCACGTTCAGTGTACAAACTAATTTGTTGGGCGCCTACGGCGGGCTGCTTTTGCATTCCTTCCAGGTGGAGGTGGAGAGCCAGCGACCCACCCGCGACCCAAACCACGTTCACTGAACAAACCAATGCCGCACAAGCGCGGCGACGGATTTTGGCATGCCGTCTGGGCCCGCAAGGACCTCTTCAAGTTCCGCGCATCGACACCAGCCCGTCCAGCAACTTTGCCCTGGCGAATTGCCTTGATCAGAGAAGTCGGGGAGCATAAATTGGGAAAAAATGATTGCGTTGCAGTTATCTCGGGAAAGGAGGGGGAGGCAGGAGGAAAAAACAGGGGACGAGGAGGACGCGGAAGAAGAGAGGATGTAAGGATAATGTCGAGAAAGAAAACGAGGATGAGCAGGAGGACGAGGAGGGGGAGGAGGGGGAGGAGGAGGACGAGGAGGGGGAGAATGAAGATGATGGACGACAGTAGGAGGACGATGATGGAGGCCGATGAGGGGGAGGACGACTATGGGAAGACGATGATGAAAGGACGAGGGGGGGAGAGGGAGGACGAGGAAGAAGAGGAGGAGAACGAGGTGGAGGAGGAGGATGACGATGACGATGAGGACGAGGACGAGGAAGAGGAGAAGGAGGAGGAGGAGGAGGAGGAGGAGGAAGAGAGCGCCATCGACAGGGAAGGTAGGGGCCACGAGGTCCGCCGGCTCGACGACGCCCGCGTCGCCCGCGCCCGCCCCCTCACTCTTATCCGCAATTGCGGGGTGCTACGTATTCAACGAGTTGGAGCCCTCAATGGCTCCTGGGTTCTTTTTTTGGGAGGTGAAGGGGTCTGAATGTTGGTCGGTTCTGCAAGAGTAGACCGGGGGCCAAACCTGGAAAAGAGGAATTGTAGGATTTCCATGCTTTTCCAGTTCCTCGGCGCTGTTCGGCGCTGTCTTTTGTCTGTGCCTCGCGGGTTTTGTTAGCTGGGCCCCTCAGGGGTGTGGGATCTTCCGGACCCCCTGGAGCTTCTGGAGGCCTCCTGCAGGCCTAGAGAGCCGCCGGAAGGGTGTCTCGGGCTGCGCGGGAGCGTGTTGGGCCATTATTTACGTTCTGGGGGCTCCTTGAGGTCGTCATGGGCTGTCCTTCGGCGTCTTGGGGTCTTCCCCCCGGAAAGCCAGGAGGCGCGATACAGGCCAGATGTCAGGGGATGTGTGGGACCCTCGAGTAGGAGTCCCACTTTGAAAAAAAACAAGGAATTCTGGGAATTTCGATTTTAGGAGAAAAAAATCCTCGATCTTCGAGGGTTGGAATCGGGAAAACGTGAGAAGGCGAAAAACGCTAGAAAAAGCCTAGTAAAAATTCAACGAGTTTACCCTCTTTGGGTTCTCTCGGGACGGCTCTCGCAGCTGTCTTGGGCTGTTTTTGGAGCCTCGTCGGGGTCTCGTTGGGGCCTCTCAGGGATCGGGGGTGTGTTGGGGGCCTCTGGGGGGTCCCGGAGGCCTCTCGGAGGTCTCTGGAAAGCCCCCTGCTCCCGCTACTGGGCCCATCTTGGGCCTGTTCTGGGGTGGTCTGGGGATGTCCTGGGCGCCTCTTCGGCAATCTTGAAGCCTTCTTGGCCCGTGTTGGGACCGTCCTGAGGATCTCTTGGGTGGTCTTGGGAGCCTCTTCGG